TTACGCCTGATCGCCGCGGCCGAAATCGATCGGGGGGCGATCGCACACCCCCGCGTGCCATGCCGTCCTGGTGTCGAAAAAAAAAAATCGGAGGAAGCTCCGGCTGACAAGTGACAAAGTGGAATCGAGCTTCTTGATAAACGTCGCGGATTTGGGCAAATAACGATAGAATGCGCGATTCGAATACTTGAGAGAGATATGTATGTATTAATACTTGTTTAGATAGAAACATGACAATAAAAATATAAATGTAATAATTATATTGATAAAAACTAAATTAGAAATGTATGAGCATGATGTACGATTTGATCGTCAGGACGCTCATTTTAATAATAGAAACAGCATCAGATTTGACATAAACTTTAACTATTTTTTCACTTACGATAGAAATAAAAAATAGAAATATATTAATTAATCTGCGAATAAAAAAGAAATAACATTCTGTCATCTCGCGCGCGTCAGGATAAATTTGAAAATTAAAAACACGACATACATGTAATGATATTTATAACTAATATGCGATAAATTGCATTATCGAATTAAATTCCGCATACGCTTTTTTATCTTTACATAGAATAGCGTTTAAGGAAGAATAGATACACGGGTTATACAGCACGATCGATCGGTCGCCTCCCGATAGGCTTTCGCCTCGCTTTCTGCTTCCCTGACAGTTCGTTTACCCTGCCGATAATCCTCCTCCGTCCGCTAATAATCCGACCAATTATACTGCGGTACGAACCCGTGACCGTATGCCAATCGTCGTAATGGGATATAATGATAATCTCGCGAACAAAGGAAACTGGTAGAAAATCCTAGGGTTGCATGCGTCGATAGGTGGTAGTCCTTTCTTCTCTGTAACGCTCGCGTCGAACAAGGGCAGGCATGATCCACATACAGCCGTTTATTAGGGTCCGGAGAATGCCGTCGACGAGTGACGATGTCGCGTTTACAATTATAATAGTATAGTATTAAAAACTATTGTCGTGCGACATCATCTTATCCGCGCGTCAAACGTGTTTGCGCGCATTATTTATCACTGTCACTGTGTTGCATACATAAAATATATACTATTCCGTAAATTAATCTTTTCACCGAGAATGTGTGTTTCATAAATCATTCTTTACAATTCCCATGCTTTATGATGTTGGAATAAATTGTACAATTGGAATTTATTCCATGTACTTGTATGTCGGTTTTCTCTTTTCATAAAATGACAGATTTTCTAACTATTTGAAATTATCATTAATTTTATGTAATAGATTTTGAAAAATTGCCAATAATTTATTTTTTAGTAGAAAATGACAATATTTGACAGAAGTTTCACACATATATAATAATAAACATATAATTGTTGTCGCAAATTATTTGATTTAAATGATAAAATATTTGAATATTTTCACAACTCATTCTATTTATCTTCCTCTTACGTGTTTTTTAAGAATACATACTAAAGAAAAATAAATTTTTAAATAATATTTTATTTAAAAATAGCAAATTTCTTTTTCTTTTTTCAGATGATGATTTTCAATAGTCTACGTTTGAAACGTGCCTATCATTGTTCTTGCTTAAACGATTTATTAAATATTTATCGATTATTAATTTTCTCAACGCATACATACGTATATCGTCTCTCGCGAACGTATATCTTTATACGCGAACAAGTTGTAAATTTCGAACGATGGTGTGTGCCTCGGGTGCGAGTCGTCGAGGTCGAGGAGCCACCGCAATTAGAAGCGGCGGCCGGCATTCGTAAAGGGGGAGCAAATGCCGAATCGCCTCCTCGGCCTCCTGATCGCCGGATAGAGTTTCTACGAATGTTCCGTTACCGCCCACAACCCTTTCGTCGTTTCTCCGCGTTCATCGAGTGCGATTTCCGCGCGGGACATTTCGCGCGGAGTTAAACCCAGCCGGGCGCGTCAGCTAATATGAATCGATCGCGGAGAGTACGAATGAACGTCTTTGTACGTACGTATACTCTGCGCGGAACAGACCACGGTCGGTCGATAGCGCCCTATCGAGGGTAGTGTTCCCCCGATGGTAGGAAAGATGGCGGAGCTTGGGCGCCTCCAGATACTCGGACATTATGACATCCTGATCGTTGTCACCGCATTCCTTTTATGCGGAATTACTCAAGCGAAACGACCGCAACCCGCGGGGAAGCAACTTGACAGGTCTCAATTAGCTTCACCACTCGGAAAGTCGCGCCACGCTTTACACTTAATCCCTTTAGAAAATCATCAAGTTAAATGTTAAAATATCGACGTTTCAATCATTTTTAACCCTTTGGACGCTACTATTTGAACAAACAGAAAACCGCTGATAAAGTTATGATGTACAAGCCATTTTTTATCAATTTAGTACATCGAGCCTTGTCGTATCGTAAGATAAACACGATGATATGACTAGGATCTGGCAGGGTCGATGAAACATTTCGTAGTAATGAATAAAGCCATCGCGCTGATGCACGCCTGAATCATCGCGTGCGTGACGTCACCGGAGGGTGACCCAACGCCAACGCCCATCGATATCCCCACGTCGACCACGACGTCGAGATCGATCGCGACCAGCGACCGGAGGCGGACATGTTGTCCTGTTACGGCGCACCGAGATTCTTTTGTTCTCGATTGATTGACCCAGGTCGCGGTCGGATTCCTGGGTCGTGAACGCGACAGTCAGTTCGGGGTGGCGTTCCCCGATCGATCGATCCGACGATTTCTCCGGACTCATATTACCCTGTGACACGGAGAAGTCGCTCCATTGTCCTCGGCTTTCTTGGCGCGTGCCAAGACGCTCGTTTGCGGTCGTTTTCGCCGTCTCGACGGACGCAAAGAGAGAAAGAAAGAAAGAAAGAGAGAGAGAGAGAGAGTGAGGAAGGGAAGATTGCGACACTATGGATACCGGAAACCGCTCGTTCTCCCGAAACTCGCACTTCGCTCGCACTCGTAGTAATGAATAAAGCCATCGCGCTGATGCACGCCTGAATCATCGCGTGCGTGACGTCACCGGAGGGTGACCCAACGCCAACGCCCATCGATATCCCCACGTCGACCACGACGTCGAGATCGATCGCGACCAGCGACCGGAGGCGGACATGTTGTCCTGTTACGGCGCACCGAGATTCTTTTGTTCTCGATTGATTGACCCAGGTCGCGGTCGGATTCCTGGGTCGTGAACGCGACAGTCAGTTCGGGGTGGCGTTCCCCGATCGATCGATCCGACGATTTCTCCGGACTCATATTACCCTGTGACACGGAGAAATTGTCCTATTGTCCTCGGCTTTCTTGGCGCGTGCCAAGACGCTCGTTTGCGGTCGTTTTCGCCGTCTCGACGGACGCAAAGAGAGAAAGAAAGAAAGAAAGAGAGAGAGAGAGAGAGAGTGAGGAAGGGAAGATTGTGACACTATGGATACCGGAAACCGCTCGTTCTCCCGAAACTCGCACTTCGCTCGCACAATGAGAAATATCCTGTCGAGAAAAAATGCCGTGGACTTACTATTGATCCCTCTGCTTCTTCCTCTTCCTTTCGGACGGCATACGTTATAATAAGAGATAAATATAGACACATACACAGACATAGACGTGCAAAAATAACCGGTGGACACAGCGGAAAAAAATCACCTTCATATACTCGGATCCTCTCTTTATGCTCCTTTCAAATGCTAACTCCACCGCGATCATTCACTCCTTGCACCCGCTTTCTGCAAATTACTCCTCGCTCATGACGCCCTGATACCTAACGGTATCCACCTGGCCGTTGATTGACGACGATCGATTTGGACTGGCTCGGACGAGGGGAATCTGTGATTGACGCGACCTTTCAAATTCGGATCTTGCTCGAGAACCAACCCGAATCGGGATCTTGCTCGAGAAGACATCCGACAAGAGTGAATCATGGTCCCTTGGTAAATCATCCTCATAAAATGGCGATTGAATAATTAAAATGAGCAGTCCGTCAAAGCGCATCGTTTCATCGTATTACGATAAGATTTTAGATGCATTTTTAAAATAAATAACGTTTTCTGTATGACGCGCGAATAATTTAATACGAGAATCGAAAGATGACCGGTTAATATTTTCGGATGAAAAAGCAATAGAATATTTAATTTGTTATTGTTGTTATAAAACAAGTAAAGAAATATCTAAATAAGATACGAGATTCGCGAAAAAATGCAATGTGCAAAAATATTCTAATAAAGAATAATTATTATTTTACACGACAAGTATACAACAGTTTACAACAATTTACTAATTTTTTTTTAAATTTTTATAAGTTTATATATAATGTGCTTTACGTAGATAGATTTTTAAAAAAGGTGTGGAAATCTAAAACATAGGTGACAAAATTTTCACAAACTTTTTTTTAGAAGAGATGTATTAAAATATATATTTATGTAAAAGAACGATTCTCTTTTTACAACTATAATATCTTTATCGCTATATGTTTTATCTTAGAAAAACAGAATATAATACAGTGCTATTATACATATAGATCCTACAGTAATTAAATCGATAAAATATAAAAATCTTATAAATATTATAATTACATACTATATTATAATTACGCACTATTGACATTCCGATTTCAAAAATATAATCAATATGATAAAAATATGATTTTTATATATGTATATATATATATTCATACGCGGGGATCGTTTTTTTACAACGGACGGAAATAGGGAAAGCAAAATATATAATTTACATTTAAACAGTAGCTATTATTACTGAAAAAATCTCTCTCTGTTATATGTATAATTTCAATTATAGCGTTTTCCCTTTATCAATACTTAAACACTCATCTAAAAACATTGGCAAATGCGAGAAACTGTCTCTGTAAAACAGTATTTAGTATAATTAATAATAAAATAGTTTCTGATTTTATATAGAGTCACATCTATATTTGTTCAAATTTAATATGTGCATTTATCAATAATAATTATTAATAATAATCCACACTAAGCAAATTTTTTTTTTTTTTTTTTTTTGTCAAGAATATTAACAGAATTATTCTAAATCTGTATTTCTTCTTTTAAATTTCTTTAAACGTTTTTTTTTTCACCATTAAAATTGTTTATGAAAAGCATCGTAGAACTTAAACAAAAACTTGTAGCTTTTGGAGATAACATTTCAATTTCTCTCTCTTAACGTTTTTGTTTGATCCTTAGGTCCATAGGCTGATCATTTTCAGCAACGATGGATGTAATCTCCTGATCCGTTTGTGTAGATTTATCTTTAACATTGCGAATTCGCGATTGGTCAAAATTTTTTTTCTGTAGATCGTTATCGTGTACCGATTTGGAAACAAGCAACAGTGAAGATTTTGATTTATTTGCCAACGTTTGAGTTTTAGTTGGTACTTTTATACAATTAGATATAAAGTTTCTTGAGATGAAATTGCTTAATCTCATTTCGAATTTGGTAAGCCATTCTACCAGTTTAGTTTCATTCCTTTCTTCTAGATATACTTTCCCTCTGTTTCGAGCGTACTGATTTGCTAAAATCAACAGTCGTTCCATCGCGCATAGTTGACAAAAGCAATATGGTTGAAACATCTTTTTCCAGAAAAATAAATCCTTTATTAACAGAATTTCCTCTCTAATTGTAAAAATTGCTGTACGTTCAACAGATCTGCTGTATTTGTACGATGCCCTCCGTATGTCGTTCTCTTTTATAAAAAGTTCAATTTCTTTCGTCAGAATTATTTGACTAATTCCATAGTGATTTGCAGCGGCTTTTATAGTAACTCCTCCAGTTAAATATTCCTTCACTGCTGATTCGAATTTAGATTTCAATTCATAATATTTGTCCAGTCCTTTTAAAAGGTTTAGTTTACGATTCAAGATTTTTTGATTAACTCCATAGCTTATTGCAGCGGCTTTCACATCCTTCTTTCCACTTAAAACAGCTTTTACTGCTGCCTCGCGTTTATTTCTTAATTCTAATTGATTTTTAATTCTTTGGATATGAGACATTATAATAACCTACGAAAAAAAGCAAAAAAGCAAAAATTAAAGCACGCTATATGATATAATAAATAAAAAAAATCATTATATATGATAAAAATCGGTAAATTTGTTTTCGCGATTTTCACTTTGTGACATTCCAATTATTTTTTTTATGACTGTATCTATCGATACTCAAAGATATATTCTTTCTTAAAATAAAATGTTTCGCAAATATACCAAACATTAAAACTATATATTTCGCAGCATATTTAAATCTGAAGAAAATTCTTCCAAAAATTATATAATTAGCGCAAAAAGATATTTACCAAATAGATACGAGAACACAAGTGTATCTGGATAAGAATAACAAACAACTGTGCGAAACGCATGTTGTTTTGATTCTATTGTAAATATAAGCTTACTGAAAAGCAATGTTATCGTACGGCCAAGCTTAAGTACTTTATATATAATATATATGTATATATATGTATATATATATAGGGGGGGAAAATACATTGATCGAGATTTTTTTTCAATTGCGTAATTTTTCTAATAACAAAGATTCGTCAGCGAATGAGGAAATTTTGTTTGGTAGTACTACTGCATCGAATTTATAATTAGAAGTTATAAATGTTTCTATTTCTTAAATTAATTCGTTATTTTCTAATCTATATACTTTTGCGACAACTTCTCTTTTTTCTTTTGTAGTTAAAAAATTTTTTATTGCATTTTCATTTTAATTCTAAATATTCTTTTTTATTTTCTATTATGTTATTTATGCACTGGATGATCCAAGAGATGTGTCCAGAAGAAAAATTATATTTTTGTACAATAATTTTTTCATTTCTTTGTTATTTAAAAATTCTACCATTGCTAATTCGGCTTTTTCACTCAAATGTAGAAAATTTTTAATATTTTCTCTGGTATCTCTGGACTTTTTATGAGTTTGACGAAATAAACCAAAAATAATTAAAGCTTGGCTATGGTGATATGATGGATAAAAGGGGTACATTGTAAGATAAAAATCGTAAGATTTCACCACAATGTTTCAAATGTTTTGTCCGATTGTATTCATCGTTCGAAGATATATATTTTCTTGAAACAAAGTTTTTCAAAACAATATATGGAATAATCTTAACATTACATAGAATCTCACAATGTATTTGAATTTCTTTTTATTCGAAAAAGTCTTTTAAATAATAATTATAAAATAATATAATTAACATAAAATGATATTTACATCGAAAAGTTGCGTTGAATCATACTTTGCTTGCGGATCAATTAAATCCCAAGGATTTGGTTTCGAAATTTCTTTTTTATCTAACGATAACGACGATTGTGATGCGCTCGTCGATGCTCGGGATGCGTATCCTTAAAAGTTATAATATTTGCCTCTTTTATTAATTTCTTGTATAATAATCCATACTTATCTGCAATAGGCGTTCTTCCAATTTCTATGGTTAAAAAATTTTTTACTGCTTCTTTGTACTTAGATTTTAATTTTTAATATTTTTAATTTTAAATTTAAATATTTTTATTTTTTAATGTGTTTACTTGTATCAAATAAAATGATACATTTTCTGAATTCTATTATGAGCAAAATTGTTTTTCATGAAAACTATCTGTGTTAAACAATAAAGAGGAATGCGTACCTTTTTTTACAGTAAAGTGTACATTTTATATATAATAATAATATATAATACAAGTTGTAGCGCGCTTTTCAAAACGCATACAGTATATGATCAATCAGAATTATTTTAGAAATTATACAAGTTTGATGTCTTTGAAATTTTGTAAGTGACTTTTACCCTTTCATTCAAGCCATTCTGCGATGCAGGTAATTTCCTGAGCTAGTAGGGGTCTCGTTATCGAACGGGAAATCTTCAATTGTCGGTTTCTGTTTCTGCCGCGAAGACCAACTGGCCCCCGAAGCTTCCTTCGCACGATCATGTCGCCCTAATACCGTTGACATCTGCGCGATTTATCTTTCTTTATCCGGGACAAATTGAATTCGTTGCGCTAAAGCGGCGGATATGTCGTTAAGCCTTCGGAGGGATTCCCAACGGCAGACATCGTCATTGGCGATCAACACCACCACATTAATATTGGTATGCTGGTTGTGCGTGTATCATTATTATAAAAATAAAAACGTCGAACGCATAAAATAATATATACACAATGCTCTTAAAAACGAAATAATTTAAAATGGTCATTATTTAAAATTTTTAGTTATTATTTCAGAGATAAAAGAAAAATATAATAATTCTTTTAAAATTATTATTTTAATTAGTAATTTCAATTATTGCGTTTCAGATAAATATTTTTTTTCTATATTCGTACATCTATTATTCCAGCAGAAAATAAATGTTTAAATAATATTTCATTTAAATAAAACGAGCGTTATTATACTTAAAAATAATTCCTTTCGGGTGAAGAGAGAAAGAAAAGACGAGAAGGAAAGAGAAAAGAAGAGAAAGAAGAGGGAAAAAAGTTTGTAGTCTGTACTTTTGAAATGTATGTATTCTTGTCAGCGACAGCGCGTTATGCGTGTTGTCTGACGCACGGCACGCCGATACGCGCTCCGTCGTGTGGTATCAGCGCCGAGAGACGTCCCCGATCCCCAGGAGATCAGAAAGCCAATCGCGGCTACGGGTCACTGTTGTGTCTCGCCGTCATAATATCCTAATATCCCCGATGTCTATTCGTTTCTGTCCGCGGCGACAAACCTGGATAATTTACGAGGCCATCGACCGACCGACGCTGCCCGGTTGTACGCCCTGCGCATGATGGAGGATCCGATGAGCGAGACACATACGTAATCGAGATAACGCAATAGCATTTTTATCTACGGAAAATCTCAACTATGTGAATTTATGGTGAAATCGCATAACAGAAACAGAACGGCATAGTAGCACAATTCAAGTTTAATTAAATCATGGGAATATCAAAAGAGGAAAAACAGGTTCGCAAATAAAATTGATCACAGTATATAAATCCCGTTTTTTCATTAATATATATTTTGCAGGATGTGAGTACTGATGTTTATCAGCTTTCTGATGTAAAGTCCGAGCACTAATGAATTCATTGTCAAAGAGAGGATCAAGGAGGTGAGAGAAAGATCCGATCAAGGTGAACGAAGACTTCCGATCGAGCTGACACAGGCTGACCGGTTTTGATCGGAAATATGGGGCGATCGGATCATGATTTCCTGGTACAGTTGACATCCTTGCCACGAGACAAACGCAATTTTATTTATGATAGGGTCCAATCGCATCGCGTCGCGACGCGACGATTCGATGAGCTCGGCAAGGGAATTTTTCACGATGGATCTTGGAGCTTCCATGGTTTCCTGATTCCGCGTTCTTCCGTGCTCGAGAAAAAAAACGCACTTTGCGACGCACTGCCGACGAGTTTTCGGTAGTCGCCGGATTCGTTCGTACTCAAAGAGATGCACATTAGAAATCGACATAGTAATAATTGTTTAACAGGAATAAGAATGAGCAGTTTGCAAAGTTCGTGCGATTCAAATACTTCTCTCTTCTTGTAGACAAATTTATATTAACCTGCCAGTAATAAAAACAATTTCATGCTAATCACGTGCGTGTTAATACATTTGTAAGCTTTGTAAAGCAATTGAAGGAACTTTATCGAGAACCGCAGTAGATTTGCTTCCCGTTTAATAAAAAGATAATTAGATTCGCAAACAGAAACAATCGCGAGGCAAAAGGTATCGAGCGCAAAATTGAATTTTTCCGTAAATCGATACGAAACAAGCGTACACCATGGCGAATCGCACACCCTATTCCACTTTTCATGCTAGCCGCGAACCGCGATCATGCCATGATTTCCTGATCGAGTCATCCGGAAGTTGATAAAAAACACAAAGGTTTCGATGACAGTTTAAAATTGCGCGAACTCATTCGTGTCGTAGAATCAATCGCAATCAAGATCGATCGAGCCGTATATCATTTTTCATCCCGATTAATCTCGAAGACGAGAATCAAATCTATTTGAGTCGCAAGTTCTACTTTCATCTCTTTCCGGCGATTCGCTGGAATTTTACCCACCGGACATTTTACAATTCCTAAGAAAATGCTTAGGTTCTCGCCCTACGGCTCCGCTTTAGGGCCCGCAATCGCCCTAATCGTTCCTCCAGCGCGCGGTATCCTCCACGCCAAGATGATTGCCTAATTCCATCTTCCTCGGTGCCAATTAGTATTCATGCGCAGTCGTGCACGCTTCCGGCACGAGGACAGTTGCTTTCATTCTCACAAACGACGACGCAGACGACAAACCTTTCGGCAACGAGATGGTAAACAAGAGAACAAGGGATTACGGGCGAACCGCTTAACGCTGATTTAAAGATAAACTAACGCAACAGGAATCCATGAGTCGCGAGGGGCAACCCCGCGTGGCTGTGAAATTCCGCGGGACACCCTCTTGCAGTGCCGAGCTCGAGCCCTTTTATGGGAGAATTCACGACTCTTAATCCCTAAAGGGCATACGCCTACGCACTTTTACTAGGGAACCATGAAGAAAGGACTGGTCGAAACACGTGCGGAAGCCCTTCGGCAGTTCTGAGAAAGGGATCCGCCCTCCCGTAACAGTCCTTCCGTATATGGCGTATTTACAAACTTTGTAGAACAACGTTAATGTAATATACCATTGCGAGAGAAAACCGCCGATGCAGCGCGACATATGCACGCACCGAGCGAGTGCGCGAGTGCAAAAGTCTCGGCTTACGATGATTCGTCAGCGGGAACTTGAAATGTGCATTGATACAAAAATAATATATGTATACATATGTGTATGAATAATATATACATATCTCGCGATCGTTAATATAATATTTTACGACGCGCCGCAAGGCCTCGAGAAAATTGCAATGCTTATAAAGATCGCGTATACATATCGAGCAATAATAAGCAGCGCGATGACTATTGATATATGGAATTTGTTTTGAAAAAAGAACGTAATCGGCAACGTAGCGATATGCGGTTGTGTTATAGATAAAGAAGAGATACATTCGATATACATATAAAATCGCGCTCGACTCTCAGCGACGAAGGATAGCTATCCAAGCGGTTTCGCCAAGGGCTTCGAAAAGTGAAAGTCAAATCAGCGTTGAAGTTTAACAGGATACCATGAACCGGTCGACAAATTTTTGAGATCGATCTCCCGATAGCCGTTTCGTGCGAGCATATCATACACGACTCGCCAATGGAAGATAATTTATCATAACATCTTCAACTGTATTTTATTGCAGTAAATTATTAATACAAGAAGGAAAGGGAAAAATCGAGAATGGGAAACCATAAAAACCGCTATTTTTCACAATACACGGGTATTTATAAACTTGCGCGATACTAAAATTTTAGAGAACCCGTTATAAAATAGTGGTAGCGTAAAATCAACAAGCTCCATTTTAGTAAAATTAATTCTTTTAATCCATCAAACATTCTACTTTTTCTTCGGATGCGGAAATAACATCTCGTAGATTACGAGGGATCCTTTTGTTCTACAATTTTTTAATTTTAATTTAGAATCGAAAATTGATATCTCGCGTGTATAATTCTTTGTATAATACATTCAGCGATATACACACATATAACCTTATTAATAATCTTTGATAATTAAAGGAAAAAACA